AGTAGTTCAATAACATTTTGAATGCGAGTCAACAAACGAGATGACATGGCCTTTCACCCGTAACCCATCTCGAAAGGGTTAACCACCCTTAAATTTATTGCTTCAATCACATCTGAAGTCAACTCATTCCAAGACCAACCACTCTGTTAAAAAATACATATATAACCTAAAATCCTATTTGTCCTACCATTAGCAAAAACACAGTGTTCGAATGGCTCAAGAATCTGACCAACCAGAACACCAAGATCCTATTCTTTCACAACATTGTTAAGGTTAAACACCCTTAAATTTATTGCTTCAACCACATCTGAAGTCAACTCATTCCAAGACCAACCACTCTGTTAGAAAATACATATATAACCTAAAATCCTATTTGTCCTACCATTAGCAAAAACACAGTGCTCGAATGGCTCAAGAATCTGACCAACCAGAACACCAAGATCCTATTCTTTCACAACATTGTTAAGGTTATTCCCAATAAATTTATTATTTTAATTCAAATAATGATAATCCACATGCATTACCTTGCACTTACTATTATGAAAAGCCATCTGTCACTTATTTGTTCAACTCACTAAATAATCTAAATCCTTCTGTAAAGCATCCTCCTCATTACCACAAAAGCCAAGATGTAAATTTCATCAGTAAATTTTTACAATTTATTGATCTTTCATTCATCTATGTCATTGAAGTAAATTAAAAAGAGCAAAGGTCCTAACACTGAACCCTGAGGTACCCCACTCATGATATTACTACAGTTTAACTGAATTCCATTTATAATAACACTGCTTTTTTCGATCCATCTACTTTTATATACAATGAGTCAATTAATATCTAAACAAGCCTTTTATGTGGCACCTTGTCAAATACCTTCTAAAAATCCAAATACACCAAATCAACACTTCTTCAAAAAAAAATTTCAAAAGATTAGTAAGGCAAGATTTTCCTCTAATAAAACCACACTGACTATCCAAAAAAATTTTAGAAAAGAATCTTGTATTAGACTTTTTCCACCACTGATGTAAAAACTAATAGGCCTATAATTACTGAGACAATTTTTATCACCTTCCTTGAAAATAGGAGTAACATTAACCATCTTCCATCCTCTGACACCTTCCCACTATTCAAAGACTTACAGAAATAGTATCACATTCCTAACCCTTAACCTCTTTCAAAACCTTCCAGGAAATATTATCTGGCCTTACTACTCTTCAAACTTCCTAATTTTTTTTTTAACAAGCTCAGAATTTATGTGATTATTTTGTTTTAACCTAACAACTGTTTGGAATAAGGAATATTGACAGAACTCTTTTTGATTTTAAACTTGAGAAATGATTTAAGCTCCTTAAAAGAAATTTACTCTATAAATGGGATGCTCATGAAATTACAGAAAAATGTCTTTCATCCTGAAAAATAGATACAGATAGGTGATTAAGGTATGGTGCTTTGTAAAAGTATTACAGTATTATTTCTTGTGCAAAATGAAAATAAATTACACGAGATTTTTGACAAAAACATGAGGCGTTGATATTCTTATTATCCGACTAATTTCCCAAAATTATGAAAAGTCGTGCCATATATTCTACTTTCACACACAGTGGGGGAAACTGTTAACAATAAATTTCCAGTGACTCATTACACCAAAAGAAATAAATACACATACATGTGCAGTTGTAAAAAATAAGGTATAAACATCTGTTAAAATACGGGTATAACAGAACAGATCCTATTGTTGCCTATGTTACATATACATTCAAACCTGAAACAAAAATTTAATTAAGAACTTCGGAAGAAGAGTAAGCTAACTAATATATATATAAACCAAAACGGATTCAAAAATTAACAAAAGCAACCCTGTATAACAAACTCACTAGAAATATTTACTGGCATACATCAGTACATCAAAAAACTACAATACACCATGATTACAGGCACTGAATAATTAATTGGATATTTTTGTCCTAATCCCAATAATCTCTCATGAGTTTTGGCCAGCTTTGTATAATAGTAAATTTTGAATGTCCTAATTCCATATATTAAGCAAGCATTACAATTTAAGTTTCTTAAGCTTCCGTTGAAAACACTGAAGAAATTACTATAGTATTCCTTAAACAAAAGATATATACAACATATTATCACACTAAAATTAATTATGCCATTAAAAAAATATGCATAAAGAAAAAAAAAAGATACCCCATCATTGTCAACATCTGCCAGGGCTATGGCATCTTTACAAATATTTCCATTGAACTGAAATTGAATACGATCAACAAATGACACTGCTCTCATTGCAATCCACTCTTTCTCAAGCTACCGAGTTGCTCCAAGTCCAAGACTGTGAAAGGAAGAACAAAGTTATATTTTATAGTTGAACAGAATAAATTAATCTAAGATAGCCTATTCAAGACACAGACAACTGAATTATCGCATGCTACTTTTTAATTTCAGTACAGGCTTATACATCATTACATGTATGAATGCTAATAATGAAACAACACTTATGAATAAGATGTGGCTGTGTGAAATTTCAAAATACACATAATAACGAAGCAAGAAAACTTAGTTTATAATTTCCAGCCCAGCCCAAAATTCAAGCTTCCAATCTGTTTGTATTTATTTTTTCATTTAATCAACATCAATGAAAAAGATAATTAAAAAAAAATGACCTGAATAGGGCTGCACATCATCCACATTATACTTTTAGTAATAGCATTATTAATGATTTAGTATAGTAATAGAGTATTAAAATTAGGAATAAGGAGGCTAGTATATAAATGCATGATAAGTATAGGTATCTAACTGTAAATTCAAAACAAAATGTTGATGGTAAGAAATTACTATAGGTCATCTGGCCAGATATATACGAGATTCGTGAAATATCACAATTTATGTAGAAATTGGAAATGCTTCAAAAAAAGAAGTTGGTTATGATTGATTTTACATTTTGAAATATTAACTGGTATTGCATGAAGTCATAAAGTAAACTGTGTGATGATCTTAGATGTTTGGAGATAAATCACATTAAAAAAACTATGTGTGTAGTATATTTTCTTGGCAATGTTTCAAACAAATGCTCTTTATCTTACATGATCTATTAAACATCATGTTTCTAATAGAACAGCCTTCATAGTGAAATGATAAACTACTTTTATCACTACTCTACTCAACCATTTCATTCTGGACTCCTCTTCTAGGCTACTTTATCTAAAACCAGGTACTGCAGCCATAAACCTTTTCTTTGTATTTGTTCAACTCTAAGTTTAATCCCTAAAGGTTTCAACCTCACATTCAACTAATGGTCTTCACTTGTTAAAGCCATGATAAAGAATAGACTGACAAAATGCTCTACTGGTTTGATACATGGGAAAAAGATGAAAGACTGTATATGAAAGAGTATTTTGGTGAGAAAAAAGCAAAAAGTCGCTAATGGAGCTCAGTCAGCTAGAACTTTGTTACTGGTGGTGTGCCTCATAAGGATAAGTTAAGACCTCATAATTTACTTTTCTCTTGTGAAAAGAACAATAACAGGTGATATTGAACTTTACAGAATTATTCACTGGATTCACAGAGTAAATGCTGTGATTTTTATGTGATGGATTCTGAAGATTATTGGATGAAAAGTCACAACTTTAATAAGATTTGGAGAAGACAAACATCAGGCTTAACATTTAAAGGCACAAGAAAATAACTGCTAATTACTTTCCCCCCCAACTTGCAAACTTATAAAACCAATAACAATATTCTTCTTTTATAAATTAACTATAACTATTTCATACTTAATTATTTAATGTAAATAAATGTGATATATTCTATTTATATGTATAAATCTTTTGCATTATTTTAATTTCAAACATCAAAATTTTTTACTTACATATGTTTTTATTTTAACTATTCCACTAAAGTTAAAAGATACAGGAGTATGTTGAACTTTCATATTTTCACCGTAGAAGCTAAGGGATCATTAGGACACGAGTTGAGTGTTTTAAAATTTCCCCACATCCTAAACTTACACTCTCTAGTTTCACAGCCTACAATTTCTTTTTCAAATATCATATGAAATTGTGAATTTCAAACCTTTACTTTAGCAATCTTAAAAACCTCAATCATGTTGCTTTTCTAATGCTACATTACATATAAATTATGAACAATAAAGGACCTGTTGGTCTATCTAGGCCATTCCATACATTGAACTTAAAAATAAAACATTCATGACAAGAACTCATTCAAATATTTATCAATCCTTCCCTTAAAATTAAACTTTTCAACATTTGGTGATTTACTGCATTCACCTCATCCGAAGGCAGCTCATTCCAAAGGTCAACTACTCTGTTAGAAAAATAAATATTTCATAGCTAAGATGACTTTTACCCTGACAAAATTTATATTTGTGTCCCCTAGTCAGTAGCGGATTAACACATAGGTCACCTATGCCGGGGCGTAGAGCACTGGCCAGACAGGAGCCCCACCAACCACCCAAGTAAACAAATTATAGTTTGTAAAACTAGCATAATAGAAGCTAAAAAAAGGTTTTATTATCAATGTCATTATTATTTTTATTATAATATTATTACCAAATATTACCTGGGCTTAGGGCCCCACTAAACCTTACTCCTAGTCATACTATTCTCACCATTAAGTATGAAAAAAAAAGGATGCATCAACACTCTCAGTCCCCTTAGCTTAAGAACCTTAAACAATCAGTCAGATCCCTTTTCATCTGACTCTTACTTACTTAATAATCTTAGTAACCTATCACTAAACTCTTACCAGAAATTCAACGCCCTTCCTAAAGTAAGCAGCCCAAGACTGAACACAATATCCCGAATGTGGCCTAACCAATGACGTATAAACGAAATTATAACTTCTTTAGACTTGTGTTCAAACTTCAACATTTCTCTATACACCGTTATACGATGTAAAATCCTAGTCTACCCTTAGGTAAGAACTTAAGAAGCTAACTTAGTAAGTTAAATCTTACTGAAACTGAAAGTTAGTTATGAGGAAACTGGATGAGTATTTTGTTTTTGGATATCATGAATAGATAAAAATTAGTTTTCGTCCTAGCAGTAGCACCAGTTACTGTACCGTTATTTGTTGTCACGTGCTTTATTTACTCGATAAAACCCGATCTTCACATGTTATATTTGTACGGAGACGCACGTACAAGAACTTGAAAAAGTACAACTAGATCGACTAACTGGCCCCTTGATCAATGAATAAAAATAATACTAATTAGCTAACATATAGTGTAATAACTCAAACTTAGGTACAGTTTATAGTTGTATAATCATATTGAATAAAAACTCACGCTCTATATTTATTTTATTTTCCTTATTTTGAACCTGTATACTAACTTCACCATACTACCCAATAGTTCCTTACTACTACTAGTACCACAAAAATTTCAACTTTCGATTTAAAGAGCGCGGATAACGTGAGATTATTATCACACAGAAAACGGTCATATACGATTAATTTATCCATTTTTTTTAACTGTGACGATATGAATCTACTATTATAGAACATCGTAAATTATTAAACACGTTTATTTTCAGTATCTTAATACATACCCATTTTTTGCGTGCTACAGGAAAAAGAAAGAAGAAAACTTTATGATTAGTATATATAATTATTTTAAGTTAACAGTGTAACACGAGATATATCGAAAAGCTTTTGTTTGTTTATTTGAAGGTAAGTACAAAACTACACAATGGGCTATCTGTGCGTTGCCTACCACGGGTATGGAAACACGGTTTCTAGCGTTGTAACTCTACAGACATACCACTGTGCCACTCGGAGGCGTTGAAAAGCTCAAGACAGTAAAATATTTACAAGGCGCTGAAATGATAAGATGTTAAATTAACAAATGTATATATATTATAATTATTTCTGTGGTATAACATCACGAAAAAATTGATAGAAATGTCATACCACTCTTTTCTGACCAACTCCGTACACACGAAGACCTTGATCCCCTTGGAACTCTTCACTGCTCATAATCTGTAAACCTTCCCTTTCTATCTCTAACCTTTTTTTTGTCTCCTTAGGGACATCGACCAGTCGACCTCTTCACACAAACTACACTGCAAAAGACAAAATATGCTACCACCTCAACCTTTCAAGAAACTCAAGAAGCTACTACCAATAGTCTTCTAGAAATACAGGACGCCACCACCGCTATAGCCAACTCCATATATACCTCTCAAGCTACACAGGCCAAACCTACTGTCAATAAAGAATCTTCACAAATAGAGTTATCACCTGAACCACCAAGTGTCCCCCAAGAAAAAATACAAATCCACAAAGAAGTTTAACCCGCATAGTCAAGGAGCCAAGATCAATTTAATCATGTATCTGAGGTCAAAAGGTTTGAATATGTATTCTGACTCAGAAAATAGTATAGAACAGGGGTCACCAAACTACGGCCCGAGAGGTCAGTTCATCCGGCCCCGCCGCTGCACTGTGCCACAAATGAACTAAAATATAATTATTTATATGGAAATATCATAGATTGTAGATAAACTTACTATGTAGAAAAAAGTAAAATAAGTGTAAGTAAATATGTCCAAATTTGTCCAATCTGATTTTTGCATCTGACAGTAATATAGGTTTTAGGAAAATTAGTGAAATAAAAAATTCGGCGATATTTTGCGACTTTTTGCACTAAGTGTATTTGTATTCCATCTTAATAATAATGATCTTATTTGCTATAAAATATGCAAACATTCCCTGTGGAGTAATTAGGGCAGGAACTACTCGCCTTGCCGTTAGAGGGAGCTTTACCTGTGTCGACTTCGGGAATGAAGGAAGGAGTAGAGCCGATGACATCATAGTTCCACTAAGTGGAACCAGAGAGCGCATTGTTAGGCCGCCATGACAGACGAACATGATGTCATAGTTCCACGAAGTGAATCAAACATGGCTAGATTTAATACAGTTCGTATGAAACGCTAATTCATTAGTTCTGTATCTAATTACATTTGTTGATCATTTATATGTAAACCGTCCTGAAAAAGGACGCTTAACTTAGTTCTATGTAAATCGTCCAGGAAAAGACGCTTATTTAAATATCATATAATAATTAAAACTTACTGTTTCACTTGTTTGCCTTTATAACTTGACAAAGTATTTCGTTTTATCGCGTGTTATTTTACTGTTTTTATCTTACACGAGTTTTACAAAGGTGTGTAATGTTACTAAGGGTTGTATACAGATATTAACGTACATTTAATTGTGTACGTTTGATAAAGATGTTTCTTTGCTTCCGTAGGACAGTATGCAGCATATAGAAGTTCTTTTCATTTACATCTGTGGGTTATTACCACCGTGGAAACATTTCATTCTGACTCATTGTGACGTGTTCAGCCTAAGGCCAATCAGTTTATCTAACTTCAAAACACCTGAGCTGCAGACTTACTATACACAAATATCGCATGTTTCACTATCTTTAATTTTAACATCTAGTTAATAAACTCAGTAGTAAATCATTTTACTAGAGAATGAATGTGTTTAATTACTATTATAGAATAAACTATTTTGTTTATACATATGAAATGTAAAGGTCTTTGTAATCCATGCATATTTCAGTTTTTGTTATTTCTAAATATCAAAGGTTATTATGCTGTCAGCTTTTCAGAAGAAGTTGTCCCTTAGATAAACTTAGAACACTGTCCAAGCTGTAAGATGGACAATACTGATAACTCTTTACGTGTCTAAACGACTACGCCTTCAAGAATATAGACTATGTATACATCTTTGCGTATTATAAGTGCCTTATGCATCAATACATCAATTGGGGAGACAGTAAAACTGTCCTTGAAGTTGGCATTTCAGTTTCTATAATGATGTTAGGACGTAAATACCACGATGTTAAGGCATTACTATACAAGCCCAACCTAAATTGTTAGTATAGCTCCCATCCCCCACCCATCCATGCTACTTCAAGATCTTCAAAGGGTCTATAAGAATTACATAGTAGCACGTCTTATATAGGGAAAGTGATACATCTACATTAATACACCTATACAAGATACAGTCCAAATATGTAATTCCAATAATTTTCCCTACAAAAATTAGAAATTGTTGTGGTAACTGTGGATTATTTGTTTATTATGATTTCGTTTATACTACTATTTTTATATTTACATACATATTTTGTATACTTATTACAAAATGTTTTAAAATATTTAATTAGAGTTATTTTATTAAATCCATTAAAAATCAATTTATCCAATAATATATTAATGTTGGAAATTAGGAACTGTTTATTGTTACAAATTCTACAATACCTGAGTAGCTGCTCTTATTATTATTAAGAATGCGGAACTGAGTAGACGGTGTACCCCCAACTCAGTTTGGGTTTTACTTCCACCAGTACCTCGAAAACCAGGGCACAATGCATGACTACTCATCTTATGGTTTGTGTCCAAGTGGTACATGTCTGTTTTGTAGCTGCGTTGTTTCGTTTTTCATTTCCTAAATAATATTACAATTCATTTTTTTTTCATCTAAGGTTTGGATATGCTGTGTTAAATTCACGCTATTTTTCCTTATGATGTAATATTTTTTTCTTCTTGTTTTAACTATACATACATATATATATATATACAAATCTATACTCCAGTTTGCTGTTGTTGTTTTGAAGTTAATCACCCAGCTACACAATGAGCTATCTGTGCTCTGCCCACCACGGGTATCGAAACCCGGTTTCTAGCGTTGTAAGTCCGCAGACATCCTGCTGTGCCACTGGGGGAGGGCATACTCCAGTTTGCACCAGATGACATCAGAATACTATTACATAGGATCCATACATACAATGTTAAATTTGAATAGTCCTGGTCAGAGTGACGGAATGATACCAATTTCGGCTTAAAGAAAACACTCGAAAAGAAACATATGAAGGAAACAAACTCACAAGATCGGTGAGTGCCGGCAGAATTTCACCTCTGCTAATACCGAGTCCAAGGACTGGCAAATAGTTAGGCTTGAGATAGTAAACTTTAAAATCCAACTTAAAGTTGAGAATTATACGTAATGTAAAATTTCTAATACGCAGTTTTTTCATCACATTTGGCGGTTTTTTTTATTATTCAATAAGAACAAGTATAAAAAAATTATTATTGGTTTTAAATTTTACGAGAAATATGATTTTATTCTCTCTCTCTCTGTCTATTTATCTATCTGTCTATCTCCCTGCCTGTCTGCCCGTCCGTCCGTAGGTCTATATATTAAAAATTGTAAATACAGAACACGATCATTCATTTTCGTTCCTCAAATTCCTCGTCGTATACAATACATATTTTCTCCTAGCATCTCCCATTGTGAGTGGTTTTTTAACACATATTTTGGGTAAATGGGAAACATCATTCGGATTTATTGTCCTAACTGTTTGCGGAAGAATTGTTTGAACATAAAACGTTATATATTAAGTTCACGAAAGCGAACAAAAGTTGACAATACAGGTTTTCAAACTTACAACGTATCTCCTTGTTGTACTGTACAGAATTTCAAAAGAGCGTTGCTTTTGTTCACTTACATAGCTACATAGTCGAGATTAATAGTATTTCAATAGACACGGATAAAGCACTATTTATTGAGAGTTCCCTTTGAATTAAGTTCGTTTCATTGTGCGCCAACGGAATTTCTGATTTGGAGAACCTCAATCGGTTTGCTTTCACAGGCTTTACCTTCTGTCGCTAAAGTTGATAATGTTAGTCCATTCTCCTAGCTTTCATGACAAGAAAGTTCTTGAAATAGCTATCAGACTGGTGGAGATTATGTTGCGACTGTTGAAAAATGAGTTGTTTAGAAACCACCTGGAAGAGTGTTTGTTGTTTTCAGAAGTCGTTGTAGTTATATATCATCAGTGCTGACCCCAATTTTTCATAGTCATTTAACATGTTACTCAGTAAAATGTTTATTACGTAAGTTCCAAAATATTTCAGACTGTTTGATGTGAAAGTTGCTATTGGTTTAAAATCTTTAAGGTGAGTTACATCATAGTTGCAATTGGTGTAAAAAATGATCACAACAGTTTATTCTCGTCACCAGGTATGTAAAGAATGGTAAAAACGTAAACAAGTTATA